GTCTTTATGTGTGCTGGGGCTTATATCGGGCTCCTGAATTAGTTGGAAGTCAGAAATTCCAAGTTCCTAATTGGAAATTTTTTGTGGAACATCCCCTCAACTTGGATTTCCCACTCGGAAGGTTGGAGCAGACCAACATCCACCGAGTTAGCAATCAGAGATGGCTCCCTTCCAAGTACTAACCAGGCCTGACCCTGTTTAGCTTCTGAGATCAGATGAAATCAGGTGTGCTCACGGTGGTATGGCCTTAAGTTTGGTATGGCCATTAACCAAGGGAAAAAAAAGCAATCAGAGATGGCGGCACTGAACATAAACAGTAGTTAAGCTGTAAACTTTTCGTCTGTACTGCCACTGTGTTTTTAGCTCATTAAATAAGCTGTATCTAAGTATATAGTGATGTATTTTTAGTGATATCTAAATGGCAAAGAACCAGAACAACAGAAACTAGCTTCATCTGGAACATCACTCCCGAGTTTCGAGGTATCAGGAATATAGTCAGTGGCCACCTAGAGTTAACAGTAGATGAAGGTAGCCTCATTCTGTCTGGATGCAGTTCCTAAAATTGTGCCCTGCACACTTCATGAGTGGTTTTTTGTGTTCAGCACCTGAGACTGATGCTTGCTCTGGGTCCAAATCCCTCTCCTGCAGCTCTGTTTTCCCATCACCTCCATCTCCATTCATCCAATCACATTTAAAGTTCAAGGAACCCCTTGTACAAAAAAAACAAAAACAAAAAACCAACCCACTTCTTAAAAAGCTGCAGTGAATGTGTGTCGTTTGTTCTTTAAATCAATAATCATGAGTGTGTATGACTACAGCTCCTCGGGTACAGATTTTTACTGCTCTGAAAATGACTGTGTGACATGAGACGTTATTTACTTCAAGCGGCTGGGTGGAGTGTGTGGTTTCCTGGTGATGTAACTTTATGATGCCTTCCAGGAACTCTCATTGCTCTTGTATTTAAAGACAAAAGTACACACCCACCTGTCTGTACACCTTTGTTAAATACGGCATGAATTATGCTCTTGTGCATTTGCTCTGTTTGTTCTGTAATGCAAAGAAGGTGTACAAATAAAGTCCTTTCCATCTTATTGATTGTCACGGTGTTTGAACCAATTAATTTCTGTCACAAAGAAAAATGGAAAACGACATGACACCTTTCAGACTTGATGGTGATCATGAAGGAACATTTCTGACTTAACAATAGAGCCGGTTTACACAGTTCATGATCTTTACAGCTAAATTATAATATGAAGCCTCTTAAAGAGGAAGGTTTGATTACAGCTCCTCTAAAACTGGGCATGAGTGCGTTAAACAAGAGAGTTTCTGTATGATTATTGGATAATAATTTGATATTGATCACAAGAAAGATGCAAAATGCTCCTTATAGTGAAAAATGTTTTATTGTTGTAGACTAATAAGCCTTCAGGGAGTCCTACAGTCATTTTGAACTGCCTTTGTCTCTTTAAAAATGAATTATTGCTGTGTTTTTGTATGTTTTGACTGCGATTAATGGCACTTTCCCCTTTAATTGAGGCACTGGAGACGTTTAGGCGGAGTCGCTTTGTGGTATCAAGTTGCCAGAATTTACACCAGGCAACTACCGGATGTGACGAAAACTTAAAAGCACAACGGTGCCATCAGCTTTGAAAAAAAGTAGGCTCTCAAAACCCACAAAAGTAGCAACATTTTTGTTAAATAAAATGAACAAATGTTTTTTTTTTAACTTTCTAAAACCGAACATGTTAACTTTTCTAAAACAATTTCTTCCCCAAGATCCACTAAGAAATTTTTAATTTCTAATTTTAAAGTGTTTTCCCCTTATTTCTAAATACTGTACCAATGTGCTTATGGTAAAATTTTATTATGTGTTACCTGAACAGATTACAACATTTTTTAGACTTAATAATTCAAAAACAAAACAAACAGTAAATTATAGAAAAACAAAAATTAACTTTATTCAGAGTCTTTCATTTAATTGTGAAATTTAATTTAAAGGTTTAGGTTTTTATATTTCTGAGAGGAATTAGTCCAAACTATTCAATAATTTAAAAATAAATACAATTTAATAAAACAAAATAAGGTAGCGCATACGCATGAGCTTTATTTTGGAAGTCTCGGCCTGCTGTCGTAGAGGTCCCAATGGCGGGCTTGACCGCGGCGTCTCTGTTTTCTGGACAGGTGGAAGCTCCGGTTTGACGAGCTGCCGTTGTTCTCAATACAAAGACAGGCGGAGACGAGAAAGACCTGAAATTCCCCCCGAATTAAAACATGAACTTATGTCGGAGACTATAAATATTTTACAGAAAATAAAAGCGGTAGTTTGAACGTTTTTGGTGAAAAATGTCCGCAGGAGAAGAGAGAAAATTGAAGAGAAACTGCGCAGTCATAGTTTAATGGGAGCGGTGACCTGAGCAGGTAAGAACATTAGTTTGCGTTGTCTTTAAATTTGTCCTTTATTTTAAATTAAGTCTCGTGAAATACATGTTTAAAACGTTTAATTTAGGTTACATGGTAGAAGTCCTGACATTCGGAGACACTTCCTTTGTGTTTAACCGGGTTTAAATGAGCGCCAGCACTTCCTTAAATTGCCCCTTAAACGTTCCGACTTTGGTTTGTTTTATACAATTTAGATAACCCGTGGTTTTGTTTAACATGTCTGACACTTCCGCGGAGACCATCACTGATAGATGGACGGCTTACAAACGGAGGTCTGAGGACCTCCAGAGGTCGTATTTTTGCTGAAATATCTGTATTGGTGACTGCTGCTCAGCTTTCAGTTTTATTGTTGTCACGAAACACAAGTGGATCTCAAAGTAAGGCTTAGGGACCGTCAGGGAGTCTAACCTGGCCGTCTTTGTATAAAAACAAAATATCAGCACCTTCAAAGTACATCCACAAACACTGACGTTACACAGGTCGGATTATAGTACCAGGAACTCGTCCATTTAGACTCATTTAATTTGGACAAGGGAGAGTGTACATATTATTTTAATATATGTGAATACTGTGACACAGAAATATGATGATTTCATTGCTTTTTACCAATTTGGACCATACTCTACACATTTAGCCCCTTCTAGTATGGATTATATTACCTAGCACCCATCAGGGCCATTTAAAACACAGAATCAGATTCTTTGAACCTCAG